TGCTGTATGGAAACACTTTCCACTCAAGTTTCTTGTATGAGAACAGTAACCACTAAAGTGTGCTGTATTAAAAGAGTAACCCCTCAAGTGTAATGTATGAAAAAAGTAACCACTTAAGTGTGTTGTATGAAAAGAGTGACAACTAAAGTGTCCCCTATGAAAACAGTAACCACTTAAGTGTGCTGCAGGAAAACAGTCACCACTAAAGAGTGTTGTATAAAAACAGTAACCACTCACGTGTGTTGTATGAAAACGGTAACCATAAAAGTATGATGTATGAAAATAGTAACCACTTAAAAGTGTTTTAAGACCACAGTGAATATTTAAGATTGCTGCATGAAAACTATAACCACTGAAGTATGCTGTATGAAAACAGTAACCACGTAAGTGTGCTGCATGGAGAACATAACCTCTACAGTGTGCAGTATCAAAACAGTAACCAATGTGGTGTGTTGTATGATAACAGTAACCACTAAAGTGTGCTGAATGAAAAATGTGCTGCAGAGTTATCACTCAAGTGTGTAGCAAAAAATAATCACTAATGTGTGTTGTATAGAAAGTATTAACCACAAAAATGTGTCGTATAAAAAAAGTATCCAAAAAAGTGTGCTGTAGTAAAACAGTCACAGCTTTAGTGTGCTGTTTGAAAACAGTAACCATTAACGTGGTGTGAGAAAACAGTAACCACTGAAGTGTGCTGTATGAAAACAATAACCACTAAAATATGCTGTATGAAAATAATAATCACTAAAGTGTGCTGTATGAAAACAGTCACCACTTTAGTGTGTTGTATGAAAACTTTAACCCCGCAAGTGTACTGTATGAAATGGGTGTCAGAATAATCATGAAGTTTATATGTAGATCTGTATCTTACAACGAGTTAATATTTCCCTACAGTGATAAATATTGCTGTAGATGAAACAACGAGTTAATATTTCTTTACAGTGATACATTGTTTTAAATAGAGTGTAAATATCAGGGTTCGCTGTATGTATACATGTGTAAAGGTCATATCGTTTAAGCTAGCAAATATGCACGTTTTGAGAGAGATTTTACTTCAGTTAGGGCCCGTCTACACCTATCCAAGTCTTGAATGCAAGTATCATATTCTCTTGTATTGAATAGTGTAGACACCCTACTTGAATGAGTTTTAAAAAGAAATTATGTGACATCCAAGAAGATAATTCCTTGCAAGAAAGTTAGAACACGTTCTATTTTTCTACAAGTTTTTGGCTGCCAAGACACTGATAACACCAGTTTGACACAAAACATGTGCCCGAAGGTTTGATAGTGCTGTTATTTTTATTATTTTCTGACTTTTTGTTGTTGATTCAGTGTACATGCCCTTTGAATTTCAGTAAATGATTACAATGTCTTGGTCAAAGGAACAAATCAATACGCTGATACACAGAAGGGCAAAAAAAAAATAAATAAATACATTGTAAAAAAAATGAAAAAGAGCTCTTTTTCAAGTAGAGTCAAAATGGATTTAAAAATGATCTTGTTCATTTAGTGAATAACTTTCATCGAATAAAGAATTTGCATCAAATAAATTTTTGTCACATTTTTTCAATTTTAAAAAAGAATGAACGCATTTCATTTACTCCATTGTGTTTTAGCTAAATGCATCATTTTCCCGCTTTTTTTCACATATTTTACAGAAACATGATAGTCTTGCAAAGACAAAGGTATAAATTCTGGGCTATCTTAATGAGACATTTCAGTAAAAATTGTGCCTGAAAAAATGTTGAAAGGCCAATTTATTTAGCTTATCTAAATAACTTGAATAGGTGTGGAGAGACACGCTGATAGTGTGTAGCGGTTATTTTTTTATTGTGAAGAGAATTTTGTTGTTTTGAAGGGAGTTTTGTTGGTTTGTTGAAGTGGTTGAATATAATTGTGGTGATCAGGGTTTATTGGTTGTAATTAGTTGTTTTGGTTGTTGAGTTATATCTGTTTGTGAAGATATAATTGGTTGATATTGGTTAAATGTTTGTCTGGTCAAGATTATATTAGTTGAGGCTTTGTTTTGAGGATATATGTAAATATTGGGTGCTTTAGTTTAAGTTGTTTTCTGATGCTGATTATATTGTGTGAAGTTAATATTGTTGGATGAATGTTTGTGGTTTATACTGTATCTTACAGTTGTAAAAATATTCATATTTGTGTTACTGTATAAAAGACGTATACGTGAAAAGATATTTCGTATAAGTGGCTGATTAATGATGTGTGTTTGTTTTGGGTGTAAATAATGATCAGAGTTTGTTGTTTAAATGTTTATATTGATTTGAGATAGAAAAGATAAAAATACCTAAAAAATAGTATTAACTAAACAATTACATGCTAGTTTTCCCACTGAGAATATTTCAATTTTATGTCAGGCGGTGCTGGCCAGCCCCCATATCTTGGAAATTGGTTCCAATATTTATTACTGAATCTTTCCTTAGATTTAATAACATCAAGGCAGTCATTTCTCCTGACAATGAGTAACCACTAAAGTGTGTTGTATGAAGACAAAAGCCACTACAGTGTGCAGTTTGAAAACAGTAACCATTAACGTGGTGTGAGAAAACTGTAACCACTGAAATGTGCTGTACGAAATCAATAACCACTAAAATGTGCTGTATGAAAACAATAACCACTCAAGTGTGTTGTTTGAAAACAATAACCACTTAAGTGCGCTGTATGAAATCAGTACTGTTTACAACTAAAGTGTGTTGTATGAAAACAGTAACCACTAAAGTGTTGTATGAAAACAGTAAACACTCGAGTGTGATGTATGAAAATAGTAACTACTTAAGTGTGCTGCATGAAGACAATAACCACTACAGTGTGCAGTATGAAAACAGCAACCAGCGAAGTGTGTTGTATTAAAAACAGTAACCACTAAAGTGTGCTGTGTGGAAACAGTAACCACACAAGTGTGCAGTATGAAAACAGTAACCACTCAAACGTGTTGTATTAAAAAAAGTAACAATTAAAGTGTGCTGTATGAAAAAATGTGCTATATGAAAAAAATAACCACTTAAGTGTGTTGTATGAAAACAGTAACAACTTAAGTGTTTTGTATGAAAACTTTAACTAATAAAGTCTGTTGTATGAAAACAGTAATCACTCAATTGTGCTGTACGAAAAGAGTAATCACTCAAGCGTGAAGCATGAAAAAGTAACAACTTGTCCTTATTGTTTTCATATAACAGTAACCATAAGGTACGCTGTATGAAAATAGTAGCCACTCAAGTGTGTTGTATTGAAACAGTAACCAGAAAAGTATGTTGTATAAAACATTGGCCAATAAAGTGTGCTGTATGGAAACAATAACCACTCAAGTGTGCTGTAAGAAAAGAGTTATCACTGAAGTGTGTAGCATGAAAACAGTAACCTCTAAAGTGTCCTGTATAAAAACAGTAACCACTAAAGTTTGCTGTAGGAAAACAGTAACAACTAAATAGGGCTGTATGAAAATAGTAACCACTGAAGTATGCTGTATGAAAACGATAACCACTTAAGTGTGTTGTATGAAAACAGTGACAACTAAAGTATGTTGTATGAAAACAATAACCACAAAAATATGCTGTATTATAAATGTTACCACTTCAGTGTGTCTTAGAATAACACTTACCATTAAGGTGAGCTATATTTAAACAGTAACCACTTATTAATAAGTTTCGAAATTACAGATAAAGAGGTTTTTTGTTCTGTTAAAAACTTAAAGCTTGCAATTGCGGATGAAATCTTATTCTAGGATTTCCATCGATAATACAATTGGAAAAGCTTTTATAATGATTAAAGGTTGTAGACAACACTAATGGAATAATCTTACGACAAAGTCTGTATAAAGATCACCTACATTTGACTTACGAATCAAAGTAAATTCTTTTCGAGAACAATATATAATCTAAATTAATGGCATGTTACTCACAATGTTAACTAGCAGGAAAAGCGAGAAAGTGAAGCATTTGTCTGATTTTTTTAATTGGGTTCTACGTCAAACCGACACAGTAAAGGTCATACTGCGACTTTTCTGTTTAACTGATGGAGGAAGACGTCAAGTACTCTGCAATGCGTTATTAAAGTTACGAATGGGCACCTGAGTAGAACCTCCGATGTTTCACGGCCGTAAAGTAGCTGGATAGCTTTCTCACAAAAAGTAAAAGCGAAGCTTGAGCGAAGCTTTTGTGACACATATGTGTTACATATACATGTAGTTACGAATACATGTAGTTATAGCCATTTAAAAAGACGTTTAAAAGCACGTGATCGTCTTGCAATTAAATATAAATCAAAGCTAAATAATAATAACATTACAAAACACTTCAGCAAATTCCTAATTGGCAATCTTTGTTTGTATCGTATTCTACAAATAAATGTAGGAGAAAATAACATTTAATTCGCAATTTTAAACAAAATTTCAGCACAACTTAAAACGAACGCAACACGCCTAAGGCCACTTAGATTAGGTTGCGGTGGCTTCTTGCACACTTTGCGCTTATAGTAGCCTGGGTTCCAGTCTGTCGATTTTTTATGTACTTCGGTTTTGCAAATCGACACTGTCAAAACCACGAACGAATACGGAATAGCGCATCTGTTATGAATAACTTATAAGCAAAGAAAATGTTATAAATAAGCAAAAACTATCAACGCCCGAATCACAGGCTAGATGTAGGTCTACATTAATGTTTTATGTGCAAAATTGCAAATCATTCACTCACTCCGTTTTTTCAGAATAATTATTCTGATTGTGAAAAAATGACCCAAAACTGAAAAAAGACTTCCAACGCTTTTCACTCAAATCGGGGTAAGAATAGCACAAAATACGATTTTCAATTAATTCCTGAGTCTTTTCTGTTTATCTTTTGCATATCTTCCTGTTTAAAGTGCACCAATTGGTCTATGTAAGCTTTTCAAATATTATGTTTAAGCATCATGGGCCTCTGATGAGTTCCTTTAACAGACTATAAATCGATGTGTGTAATATGGTTTTATATATTTGTACTTACATTTATATTTCATCGTTGAAATCCTCGACGGTTGATCTAAATTTTGTATGGAGGCTTCAACAAGTTGTACATCAGGATGTGTGGCAATGAAAGCTAGTACTTTGTCTATTTCTTTCCTTTGAGAACCTGACGGTTGGTCTGATTTTTGTATTTGCGTGTTGATCTCGAGTATGTCCTCCGCTCTTTTCTTAATTTCTTCATTTTCACATGTTGTCAGCAGTTTAAATTTTAAAACTGAAAGGAAACAGAAGAAAAACTGAACTGCGATGATATACATGTATGTACATGTGTGTTGTAAAACACTATTATTGGAATCGTATTATGTATAAAAATTGCAGACATTGTTAAATTTTTATCTAATGTCTTATTTCACTTAATCGATTATATACTTACCATATTCTTGTTGAAACTTGATAGCTTTTTGGCTCAACTGGTTCAGCATATCGCTCAATTCCGTTATTGTTTCTATGGAAAAAGAAGGATTGTAATTATATACTTTCACAAAACGTTGTAAATTTATCACACATTAATAAAATAAATGTTTAAGAAACATTGCAGATAAATGTGTTCGCTGTTATTTTTAAATACTTAGTTACCTAGCAATACATGCGTTCTTAGAAATAAATAAATGTACCGTTGTAGACATCGTTTAAAGTTTTCACTTCAACACCAGATTCTCTTAGCTGTTTAAAATACTCCTCAACGTCACATCCTGCTTCGCCTTTTTTCTTATAAAGTTCAATAAGATGTTCAACTTGTTGTCTGTCGTCTTCAGCAATGTTGAATGAAAGATGTTTTAGGCAAATGATAAGGTCAGTCCAACTGATCAGAAAGGCATCTGCATCTAGAGACTGCAAGGCAAGTGAAGCATAATTTACCCTTGCACTTTTTATTAGCCCGATACACATGATCTCCTTTTGACTTAGGTCATCATCAAACGTGAGCAGCAAAACTGATGCCAGAAGAAAAATATCCCAGTTTTTATAATCTGAACAAGACTCGTGTGGGTATAGGTAACTGGAAAATTTCTCTCCAATATTTCTTGTCAGCGTTCCCTTCTTTTTTTCAAGAAATTTTGATAGGTCTTGGTCACCCAACTTCTTCTCCAGTATTCCACATAACACGATACGCCCTCCGTTGAACAAAAGTTTTATGAAACGTACAAATCTCTCGGGGTTTTTTTGGAAAAAAACCTGAAACTCTACAATAACATGTCAATCAATCTTAATCATTTCATTAAGAGAGAGAGAGAGAGAGAGAGAGAGAGAGAGAGAGAGAGAGAGAGAGAGAGAGAGAGAGAGAGAGAGAGAGAGAGAGAGAGGGGGGGGATTAGCCTGTGATATTGAAAAAATGAAAGACCTTTAAAGTTTTAAGTACATGAATACAGAAATGGTACATGTCAATATTATTTTATACAACAGCAAGAAAATAGTAATAAGATGAACACAACAATACAATTATAAATACTACTAACCCTTTGATGTTCTACTCAATTCTTCAACCTGAAATAGAAGGTACTTAAGCACATAACTACGATTATCGGATTGAAGATATTGTGCTTAACTTGTGTAACAGTTGCTAGCAGGCCTATCAGAAGTATAGTAACGGGTATGAAAATATGACTACAAGTTTATCTCCCAATGTTAGACTTACATAAAAATATATAAAAATTGATAAGTGCTAATTTTGGATTAAAATAAATTCGACTGTAATGAATTTATATGTTTAATACTGGAATATTTGAGATAGACATATGTAACTGCTGAAATAAAACGTAATTTAAAAGCATTGACCTTTTCTTGAAGGTAATCAAATTCTTTTTTGTATTTAAGCAACTCATCCAGTAACCTCTTAACTGCAGCATTCTCTGTATCTACATTTAGTCGTCTGTATTCATTTATTCTTCGTTCACAGTTTTCACTAGCCGTCGAGTCAACAAGTTCAACCACTCTCAACAAAATACCTCTGATTTTTGCCCAAGTCTTTTCAAATTCTGCCTTCGACAATTTAGCATCCGCTCGATGACCTATTATCTTGTTTCTGACATCTATCAATCGAAGAAGATCAGCACCAAGACTTTCGTCTTTCGGGTGTGGTTTATTTTGCCAACCGCGCTGTGGTTTTGATATATTATCTTTACACAAATTTAGTATAAGTCTTAGCAAAAGTGAAATATCGAATCTCTCTAGATTTAAACCTTGACCATGAACCAGATCATAGTCATACCTGTTTATGACATTTTTTTGAAATAGATCCCTTAATATATTTTGCTGCTCTGGAGATGAGAGAAAGTCTGTGATGTCATCACTTTTTATCAAATATTTGAACACTTTACATAACAACTCTCTTGTCAGGTCTGTGTACATAACACTAGTTCTAATGTAATACGTTCTCTCTTCAGACATTTCACACAAGATGAATTAGAAATCATCAAATTGCATTGTAAGACAAATAAGTGTCTGATATACATTCCCCATCACCAAAAGTTCTGAAAAAAAATTAAATACGAAAAATTATCTTATTGCTGAAATATGTCAAATTAGATATTTGTCATTGTTGCTTACAATATTTATTAGACATTAAGAACAAATCTCGAACATTTCTTTTCAAGGATACGAACAACAGTGACTTTGAGACTACCTCGAGTAGTCTTTGAATTTTCAAACGGAAAAAAAGATTTGACTAACACAAAATCGACCATTTAATCGTGAGATATATAATCAGTTATGCTCTGGACCAATAAAAAGGAGTTTGACGAACTCACGATTGCGATGTGAGTATTTAACACTATACAACATTTTTTTTTAATTTTCAAATAATACAGGAACACACTGGAACGAAATAACAGATTGCATTGCATTTTCCAGATCTTGTATCTATTTTTAATTATCTTTTCATATTTTAAATCGACCGAAATTTAACTTATCGGAGCATGTCAAAAATTTAACTTATCGGAGCATGTTAAATTAAAGTAAAATTGGTAAAATATTCAAGGACGAAAAAATGAAAAGTATGGCCAAAACAAAACAACAACAAGTAACCCGATAACATTAAATGACCATAATTATACTTGATGATTTTAAATTTTTACAGTGAATTCCTAACCAGGAAATTGAAATAATTTTATGAATATACACATTAGATATTTTGAAAGTATATGAATAAAAACACTATCATGTCATGTGATTTCATGCGTAAAGTTTATCATATCTTACCTGTAAAACTGTAAAACCACCATGAAAACCTCAATATCTTTAAATAAGAAGCCATTGTAAAACAAAACCTACACAAATCATTATTGTCTACTTAAGTCTCTTTTATTTCCCAATTTTAAAGTTATTTACAAAACATTCACATTTTATAAATTATCGTCACGTTTAAATGGCGGCTAGTTACTAAAAATATGTGTGTTTTGATTTCCTGTTGGGTTATCTCATTTACCTGTCAATTTAAATGTATCACTGTGAATAAACCGCTCTAAGTACCCCGATTTAATGTGGTTAAGTTTTCATAAATTTTTCTGCCATTTATGATAAATTATGATGATACATTTATGTATATTAAGTTGATTTGGTAACTCTCAGAAACGGTGGCTAACAAAATGTATACTTTCTGTCAAAAAAAATATCACTAAATCACTGAAGTCTTTTAAATAAAGACAGATTTTTGGGGGGTTATTTCCGAAATTATTTATAGAATTATCATGAAGACTTTGCATTTTTAATCAATAGTGCGGTTTCAAACCGAATCTGCAAATTTCGCGTAATTTTGTTGTGATTAATGCTTCCGATGAATCACTTTGAACATTACCAGATTTTTTTTAAAGTAATTTAAGCATTTAAACTTCAATACCATAAAGATAATCGTTTGACTGTGCAAGTCCGGATTGTGTATATCATATTCAAAACAGTCGAATCTAAATGGTATTTCTTTTCATAGTTTAACAAAAACATATTTCGTGTTTTGCGTTAAACCTTACTATACAATGCCATTCAATTGATCGGTTAATTTTAAATTTGTATAAGGAACAGTCATGGGTTGTAATAAGATATCATATAACTAAGTAATAAATATAGTACTACGCAGAATGTAGTGGCTAATTATGATGGTCTCTTTGTTCATTTAAATACCGAGGTAACTCCTAAATTTGTATTTAATCATTTGAAAATAATGCAAACTGAACACAAATAGAAGATCAAGATTTTTTTTAAAAATCGTCAAATGTATGTAACATTTTGATGAAGTGTGTTTTGATGAATAAAATTCATAACTTATATGTTAGTGTTAATTGAATGAAATTTTAACAATTAAGAATCCCGAAGAATCCCAGTAAGGAGCGACCGTGGGTCCTTAATTGTTAAAATTTTCATTTAACTTAGTTTTTAACCTCATTTTACCCTCAACCTGGAAGCCTCCATGTAATATTTGGTACTTTGTATAGACAATAGTCCATGATATTCTAATGACATCCAGGTCATTGTATAAACAACTAACACAAAGCATGTCTTGACTGTTTAATCTACTAATTCCAAGTGCGCTGGAGCTGCATACATTTAGGTGGGAATTCATGTTACAGGAGAATCATGCGGAAGTATAGGGACTTGCTATAGTTAAACATAAAGTGAATTATAAGCTACATAATTCTACATTCCTTGTTTTTTTGAAATATATCAAAAATAATATTGAATTATTATGAACGCTAAAATTATTTCAATTTCTACTTATAAAGATCATAACCAATAAAATTAGGAAATTATTAAGAAGACACGCAGTTATTTAAATATGAAATGTTAACAACGTATAAAGGGTCTACATTTTTATTATGAAATCAAATACATATTATATATACATTCTCAAAATAGAATATCGGTCAAGTTTACTTTATACTGTTTGAATGCTTTTCGTTTTTCCGAACTCTCACACATTTTTGATAAATAATTGCTTTATCTCATCACAGTTTACACTTGCCACATAGGGTTGTTGAGGTATTTGTTTGGCCTGACCTTGTGGTGTAGACATTAACTGATTTTTCTACTGGTAAACTTTTATCAGAACTTTGTGAGGCGACTTGTGGGAAAATTGACCAGTTTATCCGAATCATTTAAACACTGGAGATTTTCAAGGGGTAAACAGGGTCATTTTCTGAATCTTTACGTTTTATGGTGCAAGAATTTCTGTTTCGGCGCCGTAAATAACCACCGTTCATTATTTCTTACAACATATGATTTGTCAGTCTGTTTATCAACTACTGTCCCTTTTTTCATTGTTTGTCAAATGTACTCTGACTGTATCACCTGTTGTCAATTAAAGGTTTTGACTGTCTGTCATAGTACTTATTTTGTACATTATGTTCTTGTTGAAGTTCTGGTGTAACTCTCCAGGAATGATGGTTAGGAAACTACCCGCCTATATGACTGAAAAAATACTGTTGGGAAAAGGCGTAAAATGAAACAAACAAACAAAACAAACATATACTTGTTGAAGTTTCATACATACATCTTTTATGTCAATTTTCTGTGGCATAAGTTACTCACTGTTAATAGGCAAAATTGTCCGTAGTCGTCTGCTCATAATAGTTGTGATGGAGATTTTCATTGGGGTTGTTCTGTATTCTAAAATACTCATGTAAGGGTCTGTCTTACTCTCTTTGGCTTTTCTAAATAGCCGTTTTATTGTTTGGACTGTTTTCTCTACAAGTCCATTACTTTGACTGTAAAGTGGACTGCTTGTCACATGACTAAAATTCCAGTCACTTCAAATGACTTAAACGTTTCACTTACATAATAAGGAACATTGTCTGATATCAACTTTTCAGGTATGCCATGCCTTGAAAAGATAACCTTGAGTTTTCTAATTATAGAAACACTTTTGCTGCTAGTCAGTAGGTCAACTTCAAAGTAACTACTGAAATAGTCAACCGTGACTAAATAGTCATCATTTTCCCATGTGAACACGTCTGTGCCCACTACCTGCCATGGTCTGTCGGGTATAGGGTGACTTTTTAAAGGCTCTTTAGTGTTTGAATTTATGTTTTTCAAACAAATATCACATTTCAGTACATAGTCGGTAATATCGGAACTCATTTTCGGCCAAAACATTATATCACGGGCTCGTTGTAAGCATTTATCAACGCCTATATGGCCTACATGAATAGCCTTTATCATTTCCTGTATAAGTGAAAGAGGTATGAGTAATTTTTGACCTCTGAAAATTAGGTCTTTTCCCACGGACAATTCATCTCTGTGATTCGAGAAATCTACGATTTTGACGGGACAATTTGCTCTAGATTCCGGCCAACCACTTATTGTATCTGTTAGCAACTGACATTGTGAATCATTGCTAATTGCTTGCTTGACCTGTTCTAATTTTTAGTCGCTTACAGCTATGCTTGATAGCACTGTGTTCATATGTAGACAAAGATCTGCTGATAATTCAGGATATGTTACTGACAAAGATTTTCGAGACAAGGGGTCTCCTACAGGGATATCTTTGCCTGGGACATGGACAATACTCAAATCATATTTCTTCAACTGTAACAACATTCGTTGTAACCTTGGACTTGCATTGCATAATGATTTTTTTTCCAAATAGATGAGATAGGCTTGTGATCAGATTCTACAGTAATTATTTACAATTACCTATATTTACTGATGAAAACGCTTGCATGAAAAAACTCTACTTAACATTTCTTTCTAAATAGTTTATTTCAGCTTTTGTCAGGGTTTTTAAAGCAAAGGCTACGGGCTTTTTGTCCCGGAATAAAACGCTTCCTAGCACATCCTCCGAAGCATCACGTTGTATAATAATTGGCTTCGTATGATCAAAGTATTCAAGAACAAGGGCATATGACAGAATAGATTTGACCTCCTGAAATGCCTTTCCACTCAAATTCTACATCTTTCTTAAGTAATGCACACATAGGGGCTGTGACCACAGCTAATTTGGATGAAAATTTAGACATGTACGTACACATTCCTAAGTATGTTTGTAGCTCAGCCTTATCATTGTGCGGTTGCATTTCAGTAATAGCACTGATCTTTTGAAGATCGGGCTTCAAACCAATTTCAGATAGAATATAACCCAAAATAGGCCACTTGTGTAACTCTAATTACACATTTGTCAGGATTGAATTTATCACCACATGTCTATGAACGTTTAAAAACTTGTTTCAAATTTGAGTCATGTTCGTCCTTTGTCTGCCCATATACCAAAATGTCGTCAACGATTCCAGTAACGCCTGGTAATCTTTCAAAGGCTTCATCAAGTTTCTGTTGAAATATGTCATGTGAACATATAAGTCCAAAATGTAATCGCTTAAAACGATACCTACCAAATGGTGTGTTAATGATGAAGTTTCATCCAATTTCACACTCCAATAACCACTTGTGGCGTCAAGTACTGAGAAGAACTTTGCACCTGCAAGTTGCGAAGTGACTTCTTCGAAAGGTCTATACAGGGCTTCATTGAGTGCCTTGGGGTCTAGACATACCCTAAGTTTCTTAGTTTTGGGTTTCTCTACAATCACTTGATTGTTAACCCATTCAGTTGGATTTTTGATCTTGTCAATTATTTCGAGCTTTTCCAATCAAGTTCCTCTCGTAGTTTGTCTTAAAATGGGACAGAGGTGGGTTTACGACTGGTATAGAGTCGGGCCTCAAATGTAATTTTACTTCACCTGACATTAAACCAATGCCATCAAAGACATGTTTAAATTCATCGAGTATAGAGGGCTTGTAGCCAGTCTCAGGAGATATTTCCTGACTATCCAATGAGTAAACAACAGGGAAAACAGGGATGAGGATGTAGTTTCTACAACATAAAATGTAAAAGGCATAGTGGCTTGTTTACTTACAGGTTACTTGTAACCTGATTGTACCTTTGACCTTATTGCGATTGCCAGTATATGATTAAAGCTTTGCACTTGAGTGTTGTAAGGGGTACTTAATACCAAGGTGCTTGAATTTTGTTTGTTTGTTTTATTTTACGCCTTTTTCCAACAGAATTTCAGTCATATAGGCGGGAGGTTTTCTAACCATCGTTCCTGGAGAGTGACACCAGTACTAGACTACCTTCCTTCGCGCTAAACTACCTAAGCATCTCCCGGGGATCGAACCCACGCCTGAGAGGTAACTGGATTACAAGTCATCGACTCTAACTCCTCGACCACGGAGGCGGTGCTTGAATTTTGATTCTGGCATGATATTTACCTGACTACCTGTGTAAATTTAAGATGTTAGTACAATTTGGACCTATGCTTAAAGTGGCAAATGCTTTTTTCTTTTTGAAAATAAAGGGAAATTTTTTACCTATAAAAATAGGGAAAACCAAAAATCAGAATTTTTTGGGAAATGTCATAATCTGTGTTTGGCCCGAAAA